ACCAGTTACTAAGACGTTAGGAGTAACATGGTCTCCTAAGGAAGATCAATTTAAATTTCAAGTAAACCTGCCAAAACACAAGCACAAAGCGAGAGTTCTTGAAATGAATAGCCACGTTGTTTGACCCCCTTGGTTTCTTAACTCCATACATTATCCGTGCTAGAATTATTCTCCAGATGATGTGGACCAGTGGGCTTGACTAGGATGAACCGTTGAGTGCAGAACTCAAGACAAAGTCCCAGAATTGGTTCGATGAGTTACCTGAACTGTCTAACGTAAGAGTTCCGAGGTGTATCAGACTTGACACTGATGTTAAGGAGGCAACCATTCATACCTTTGTTGATGCTTCTATTGAGGCTTATGAGGCAGTTACCTACACTCGCCACATTTACATGGATGGAACTGTTTCGTGCAACTTAGTTGCATCGAAATCAAAGGTAGCACCACTTCACGCTGTCAGCATTCCACGTCTTGAACTAATGGGGGCCATTGTTTGGTTACAGCAAGCCGATAGGATTGCACCAGTGCTTAAAGTACCTCTGGAACAACTAAACTTCTGGTCAGATAGCATGGATGTTTTGTACTGGATCAGAGGGCAAAGCAGGCAATTCAAACCTTTCGTTGCCAACCGCATCGCTGAAATTCACAAGTCAACTAACCCAGTACAGTGGCGATACGTGCCTACAAAGCAGAATCCTGCAGACCTATTGACAAGGGGACAATCGGTGTCTCATCTGAAAGATGAGAAGTGCTGGTGGGAAGGACCTTCCTTTCTGAAGTTAGATGAAGCAGAGTGGCCAATTAATAAGATTGATGTTAAGAAGCAAGACAAAGAAGTTCGTAAGCAGTTTAGCAGCAAACAAGAGGACACATGTGACAGCACCTTTGTCAGCATATCTTCTGTGAACCGTCTTGAACCCACAAGGTACTCGAGCTGGAAAAGACTCTCACGTGTGCTAGCAAGAGTTCTTCGGTTTCCTGCCAACTGCCAGCTACTTCCTGAGCGACGAGAACTCGGCCCACTTAACCAAGAAGAGCATCGTCTCATCAAAACCGCTCAAGAACAAGCATTTGCTGATGAAACAAAAGCATTGAAAGCTGAAAGAAAACTGCCTGGATCATCAAAGCTACTTCCTTTAAACCCATTTATCGACAAGGATGATATTCTCCGGAGTAATGACAGGCTTTGTTATGCTGATTACCTCCCGTGGGATACTCGGTTTCCCATAATACTCCCAAAGGATAATCACATCACTAAGTTAATCATTAAAGAAAGCCATGAACGGATGAAGCATGGGGGGACGAATCAAGTCCTAGCTGAGTTGTCCACTAGATACTGGATCTTATCAGCATGAGAGGCGATACGGGAGTGGGAGAAAGAATGTATGACATGCAGAAGACAAAAGAAAACTCCAGTCAAGCCAATCATGGCGCCATTACCTGCTTTACGTACACGTGTGTCGCTGCGACCATTTAGTCAGACATCAGTGGATTACGCTGGACCATTTATCACTAAACAAGGTCGTGGAAAAGCTCGCCTGAAGAGGTATCTCTGTTCACCTGCTTAAGTACACGAGCAGTACATTTAGAAGTTGCCTACAGTCTAGATACAGACTCTTTTCTTAATGCCTTTTTTCGCATGGCATCAAGGAGAGGTATGCCGGAGGAGATGTTATCGGACAATGGGACCAACTTTGTTGGTGCTCATAATGAATTGGAAGCCTTAAAAGCGTTAGATCAGCACAAGATTAGTGATGGAACATCTGCCTATGGGGTTAAATGGCACTTTAATCCACCCTTGGCACCACACTTCAGCGGAGTACACGAGGTCATGGTTAAAGCAGCGAAGAAAGCCATAGTCGCCACATTAGGATCAGCTGACATCACAGATGAAGAGCTTGTGAGCGCAGTCGTCGGTGCAGAAGGTCGCGACCCCTAACATAACAATCAGCTAATCCTGCGGATACAGTACCACTTACACCAAACCACTTTTTACACGGTCAGCTTGGTGGAAAGGTTGCAACCGAAAGTGTAGATACCACAGTCTTTAACCCCAGGAAGCGATGGAGAAGAGTACAGGAGCTGGTGAGACACTTCTGGCACAGATGGTTAAAGGAATGGCTACCAGGACTCAACGCAAGAAAGAAGTGGCATCACAGCAAGGGTAATCTTAAAGAAGGAGATGTTGTGATTCTGATGTCACCGGACACAGCAAGAGGAAAGTGGCCCCTCGGGAGAGTTGTGACGACAAAGCCTGGAGCAGATGGACAAGTCAGAGTCGCTGATGTTAAAGTTGGGAAGACCATCTTAAGAAGACCAGTTGTCAAATTGTGCCCATTAGAGTACCAATGACTTTTAAGTTACTTTCATTTCAAAGCTGGACTATACGTTGACATTTTATTGTTTTTCGTTTTGTAAAATGTGACTATCAGATTTGCAATCTGATAGAGAAGGGGAGGATGTTCATAAGATATGTATATTTCCTTTTATGGGTGGCCTGTGGCCGAGGACCCCTAGGTTCGAGTCTTGTAGGAGCAAAAAGGAGAAAAAGAATAAATATGGCGTTTGTTGAACTTGTTTATTAAACTGCGCAACATCCCCACTCCCCTGTTACAAAGTTGAGATTCTCAAAAAGCCCTGGCTGACAAGATGAGAACCAACTTTGAAACAGGGGTGGGGGGATAATATGGCAGCTAGATGTTCAAATATTTTTGTCGAGAGCTGCAGGCTACAACTCCTTATGAGGGGAGAGAGTATGAAGCCCCTGTGGTGGTGGTCAAGGGATCACATCAAACTAATCTTTTAGGTGGTGATGTTATGTTTTTATCTATGATTGAGAAACAAAACAGGTCACGGAAAGGGGATATAACCTAAAGCTGGATGACTGCTGAATCAACACAAACACAAGTGTTCAATGAGGGACGAGGGACACTGAAAGGCATGTCTGCTAAAATTGTACATCCTGAAACTTAACCAAAGTTCTTCAAGCCAAGGTCCTTACCTTATGCTTACTATTTAAAAGTGGACAAGGAGTTAGGCTCCTGGAAGAGAAAGTGATTGAGCCAGTAAAGTTCTCTGACTGGGCAGTGCACCAGTGAAACCAGATGTTGAGGTCAGACTCTGCAGTGATTTTAAAGTGACAGTCATCATATGTAAGTAATTACTCTAGCTACAATCCCAAGACAAAATTGTATGGGACAACACGCTATTACTGCGGTCTAGCAGATGCACTATCTAATCGGCTGTTTAAATGCTCACTCAAACCCTACCCCCTACCCCCACTGTCAATGTTGGTTGACAATGGTGTTGTATCTCTTGAAAAAGGTAATGCAAGCATAACATTAGAGTTATTCCGTATAAGACGCTTTCGATACGTTACGTATGCAAATGTTCAAATCGAACCTTAAGTATGCAAATTAACACTAAAAAAAACACACAAATAAAACCTTCGAACATTTATTTGTATTTTCAAGGTCATATTTATTCTCAATCATAACAAAAACCATAGTATGTTATGCAACATGAAATACAAATTAAAACCAGCTCGTCAATTTTTACAGATCGTCAATTTTTTTATCTAATTTTGTCAAGACATTTGACATAAGCGCCATGGCTGCGTTTGCTTGCTCGCACATTTTAGTGTGCGCCTTTTGCGCCTCAAGGTTTGCCTCTCGCAAACTCTGCTTTTTTTTAGCTGGTTTTTCATCGTCGGTGNCCCCTCCGGCAACAGCTTAAAGCACGACGTTTTAACCGCGAGCTTTCCAGAAAGCGCATAAAAGTGGAGCACATTTTTAAGCACCTAAAAGATTATAGATGTGTGTCTGGGATTTGGCGTCAAGAAAGATGGCTTTTGCCAGTTGTGATTGAGCTTTGTGTTTTTCTAACAGAACGTCGCCTTACTTTATTTCAAGAATTGTAGTTAACATTTCAAATATGTGATACAGTACGTTATACAATGTAAAATATTATTAGTTATCCAGAAACACAACAGGCACTTTTAGTTCAAGCAGAATGAAAACGATAAAATTTGCATACTTAAGGTATCGTTTTGAAAATTTGCATACGTAACGTATCGAAAGCGTCTTATACGGAATAACTCTATTAAGTAACAATGCGCTAAAGAACTAGGGAACTCTCTCATTTTTGAAAAAAAAAATGTGGATAAACTCTATTTTGAAACAAAGTTTCTTTTGTATTTAAAGCTCTTATCCAATCATAAGCACTCAAAACAATAGCCAAAAGATGCTTATTATTTGCTATGTTCCCCACGTAGAATAATAGCCTTAATATTGAAGCTAAAGAAAGATTTTTTCAGTGAAAACAGACATCAAATAAAATAGAAATTGCGCTAACTTGTAAAATTATAGCAGATTTTCATGTTTTAACCAATGGGATGGATGGATTATACAATGTACAATTAGCACCTTCTTGCATTCCTTTGCTGTTTGCTTCCCTAGTTCTTACTCGGGGCATTACTTAAAGACCAAATCCTGGAGTTGATATAAATGTACATCCTTTTTAACTCGAAGATTGCGAAGCAATCATAATCTGGTTCAAAAATCAACTATTCATAGAACGAGGCCGGAAAAACAAGCCAATCACAGAATGATTTAGGAATCCCAGCATTCCTTTGCTCTCTTCCAAGAAACTGATGGGGGACAGATGAGAAATCGACATAAGATGAGAAATCGAAATCAACCACTCCCTGGTCTCAATCCAAGATATGTACAAAAAACAAACCCTTAGGTTTGCCAAAATTGAAGCAATCGATAACCATTATTTACACTCCACCTCTTTCATTTGGCAGGAGGTTGATGCTCGAAAATTAATGAACTTCATACTTTTTAGATTGGGATTCAAGCCAAGTTAAAGCTTGGATAGAAAAACCTTTGGATTCCACTATGGCTTCAAAGTTCAAGGAACAAGATGCTGATGGGGAGCGCTTCTAGAAAGATATTACGTGAGGCATCGCTCCCCATACTTGGCATTACAACTCTTCAAAAAATAATATGTTCGAGAATGTAGATTTATAGCTAGCTTAAAAGAGTATACGATTATTATCCATAATTTCCAATTGTTATTTATTTCCTGCAAACAGTGGAAAATTTCGAGGAAAACAATTTAAGAGTAAAGGAATAAAGCTTGCTCCAAAATGGCCACCAAAACCAAGGCCAAAATGACCCCTAGCATACTAAGGTATGTGCTACACTTAAGGTATCTGGGGACATTTGTTTTTAGTACCGACCATGATTAAAGAAACACATGGAAATGCAGTTTATTTTGCTTTGATCCGGTCAATATTTTCTAAAATGAAGGATAAAAGACCAAAATATGTTATATATAGATTTCATGAAAATCGAGTGTAATTTATTCAAGTTATGCTCGAGTTACCTAAGGCCTGGGTCGCGATGTAATTCACTCAAAAAATAGAGAAAAAAATCTAAAAATTCATTAAAAATCGAGATTTCAAAATATTTCGTCGAGATTTTACAGAAACACCTAAAATAAACCCATTATTTAGTTCACAATGCATTTTAAAGTATAGCGTTGATTTATCCGTTGATTTACGCGCCAAAATTGCCTTAACTTGAACTGGAGTTTTAGAGCAACTGGAGAATAACGTTTAGCACTAGAATGATCTTAATTCCTCTTTAGATACATTTATTGCACATATCTCCATATGAATCCAACTTGAATGGTGGTCTCTAGTGTAAAAATCGATGTTAAGGAAGTCGCTAAAATTGGACATTGTCTGATAATAAGCAGAATTTACTCGATTCTTTCGTTTTTCTAATAAATCAAGTTGGATCACAAAACTGCAACATTCCAGCAACACAACTAGTGTGTTTTAAAAAGAATTTATGAAAGAAACTGTATTCTCCCGAGCGTGTTGAAATGTAGAGTATGGGTCCTGAACAACAGCGACCTCGATTAACTTCTCCCGCACTCATCATGTTAGTCAAAGCGGTCGGTCCCTTTAAAATAGACTTTCTTAGCCAATAAAAAAGTAGCTCACCGCAACAAAATGGCGGACGACACGAACTCTGAAGAAGTTACCCTTCTTTCGCCAAAATCACGGGTTTTTTCGCTACATTTACATTTTAAGTCGAAGAGAATACGCAATCAATTCATTTGATTTAGCTGAGGTCGCCATACCAATAAACTTTACGTATCAAGTATTTATTTACAAGCACATTGTCGAAACGCTTACAAACAAGCAAGGTTCCTAAGTAATAAATTCACAAATACAATTTACTATACTATATAACATGAAAAACAATATTAAAGACAAGGAAAAAATGAAAATACTTACAAACAAACTGTGCGATGTACTCGATACTACGATATGGCAACA